TAGTTGGAAGGAATTCTGGAATCGGCCTCACTAAAGACCGAAGTTGGATTTTCTTGGATAACAGATTATTCAATTCCTCACCATCCTTTGACTTTGATAAACCAGTGCTGAGCCTTTTTATGTCATGTAACGGAAATCGTCAAAGCGGGAAATTATACTTTACTAAAAGTCGAACCGATATACTAAATCAAGAGCAAATGTTCCCTGCTGCAAATATACTCGCATCTTCTACCTAATTTTGCTAGCATATGACTTAGTTGGTTAATTTATGCTTAACTCACGCGCCTGCTGATCAGTGAAGTTAATTCCTATAAAGTATTTAGATGCTTTCGCTATATACGATCATTTAATGTTGACGCATTTTTATCAATGCGCTCTTGTCTATTTTTTGTATTCAATGTTTAATTCATGTGAGGTTTGATAGCCTTTACCAAATCCGAAGATAGATATCTAAGGGCCATGTTCTTGCTCAGGGGTTCTTCCCGTTCACTCTCGTTCTCTCTCCTTAGGCCTATCCGATGGCCATAAATATTTCGCACTCTATTTTCCACACCCTTCTCCCTTTAGGATGGTGTCGCATCTACGGGTTTCTCGAGTCTATATTTCAGGTTAACTGAAAGTTTAGATCACTTTTAATATCGCACTTATCCTCTCAATCTGTTGTACATCAGGCAAACCGTGTGGTTTCATCATCTGGGTTTTTATTTTAACACTGTCGCCTCTTTATATACTGTATCCATACATAAGTTAGCACGCGTCTAGACCTGTTGTGGCATAAACTCTTAGGCAGAGGTGTGGGTGATCCAAGAGCATATGACAAAAAGAGGATACAAGATTGAAATTGATTCTAGAGGAGTCTATCGGGGTTTCGCAGAAGTGAAAGTGAGAGAAGGGGAGAGAGGAAGAACCAAAGCTTTGCGCTGCGTAAGGAAGCCGAAAGAGGCTCCACGATGAGATGCTGCATCGTTGCGGCATTGACTCAAAGTCCTTATGGACCAGGCTAATTTTGCCGTTGAATATAAACTGAATCAACGATATGGATTTGGTTTAATTTTGGATGAGAGTGATACTAATGTATTTGATCAAACTGGCTTTGCCGCATTGGTAGAGATTACATAAAATATTCTTGCTTTGTTTTTATTACAGTTCATCAAACCGACTGGTAAAACTGCTTCGCTAAAGACTGGAACATCTAGATCGCACCTCTCGTTTTTAGTATTTTTAAACAATTAGGCACAACATTTTTATCTACGTTCTTGTTATAACCCGTCAGGATTAATCTATTAGGCCTATTATTTGCCTTAATTGCTATTCTTCCCTTAAGTATTCTTAAGTAATATCAGGATTTTCTATTCAGTTTGTGAAAATTCGTTTGCTTTGACTGCATCTTGACACTAATTCTGTCTAATAGCTTTCTTATTAATGATTCATCCTTCACACATGTCACCTTACCCGCATTATATCCCTTTACAATCTACATAACGTATATTAAATCCCATCTTGTCTTTTCTATAACAGCTACCTGTCACCTTCTCGAAACTCTCTCACCTGCGCTCCGTCGTACTTGCTGGCACGCCACTTCAAGATCGTATTAGCGCTTTTCTGGCCAGCGCATCTCCTTCAGGTGGACACTACGCAATCCCATCATCCACTGCCATCTCTTCGAGTGTTAACTACACTTCATCCACTCCAATTGCCCATTCATCCTCTGCCTCTTCCTCCGGCATTTCCACTTTCGCCTCCTTTAATTCTGTCTCTTCCCGATTTACATCTCAATCAACAGCCATTTCATCAAATCCAGTCATCCCTAGCTCTACTAATGCCTCTTATTCATGCTCGATCTCCTCTTCCGCCAACCGTTCTGGAGGAACTACGATGACCACTGGCCTTAGTTCTGGCCTCGCCTCTCAAAAGGAAACAATGTTCACAGGCTCTGGGGAGGTTGATGCTGCCACTCTATTCGCCTTTATCAACTCAATGACGCACAGGTGAGTAAGGATCCTACTTACAGAATTGTCTAAAGGTACGAAGAGTAACTGGGTATTGATGATCTCATAATATAACATTGTTGGGGAGCCTAAGATATGAAGACTAGTATGATGTGGCCTTTTGTATGGTTGTGGTCTCCTTTCGTTGTATTGAAGTTGCTTGACCCTGATTTCGCAACTCGGTCATATTGGTAGGAAGACCCAGAAGAACGCGCCTAGTCCGGAGTCCATTGTATGCATGATAATTTCCAGGGTCGGACCGTAGACGTGGTACATTCCCAGACGTTTCGCCGGCATCGTAGTCGGCATCGTGAGTGAGCATGGCCAGTTTTTGCACCACACTACAACTCTTCAAATATATTAGTGAAGTCTCTCCTTTGAACAAATGTATGCTAAACAATTGGGGTATCTCTCCTCCTGTCCTGGGCCATTCACCTCTCCTATATCCTCGTATCAAACTCTTCAATATCACAATTTATTACTTGTTTATCTCGACCTATTTGGAATCTATTCACACTCCCCGTTGGTTTCCTCATCCCTCTAACTATGCCGGGAGTGTTGATCCAAGGCTGTGGTTTAATCCGCAATCCCTTCTCTTAGGATCCTGTTAGAGTTTCCTCTTGCCCCATAGGATCTTGCCCTTATCTGCCTGTTTCAGTGATTTCACTCCATCACTGCTACCATATCCGTGCTACTTTCAAGGCGTTGTTCTACACTCTGCCTCAAACTTTTGATAGCACGTATACGCCACCCTCACTGAGTAAGCCCCATTTTTTGGGAGGCTTTCGTTGCGCGTGAAAGTGCATGATAAATAGATTAATTGGTTGAACTAATTGGGAGACATCGGCCGACTCAATTTTCTGCAGCCGTTTGGCTTTAAGAGAATGATTAATAGGATTATTATTTTTCCTTTATAAGTAGGCTTTCGAGACCACCAGTTAATAATGCATATGAGATGTATCCATCCTATTTCGTTTGGTCTCATAAGAAGATTAGCACTTGAATTTTCCCATATTTATCTGTGTAGACATGACATTTCCATTAAATTTCATGTAGCCTTGCTTCCCTTTAAGATATTCTCACTCGAGATAGACCGCACTTTCGATCATGTCTAGGTCTTATCAACACACGAGCTGTAATCGAATCATAACAGTGCGGCGTATAATCTCGTCATATTTACTACTTTACATTGCCACGATTGCCCTTGGGTCGCAAAGCAGATGCGAATTTCAAGGAGGGCCAGGCATTTTCCCATATTATATTCCGTGGTGGGATTGCCGATTGAACAAAGTTGTATTTAGTATAAAAATTGACTACGTTACTTATTTTTCGTTTATAAGTAGGCGTTCATGATTACCAGTAGATCATATTTATGAGAGGTATTAATCCTATTTCGTTTATATATATATATATGTGATATGGAAAAATGCCTGGCGTTCCTTGAAATTCACATCCGCTCTTTGATCCTACGAACACTCGTGGTAACGTGGCGTAGTGGTTAATGTGCGTAGATTATACATTGCACTGTCATGGTTAAAGTCCCGTTCAAGGTCGAAACTGCAGTCCATCCTGGATACGAATACCTTTTGAGAAAGCAAAGCTATTTGAAATCTAATTGAAACAAAATGTCTACTGATAGAATTCTGGGAAAATTTGACCTACAGTCCCCTTATCAACCTAGACGTAACAGGACGAATAGATCTCATATATTGGGAGTATTAGATTTAGCGCATAATAACTATTCGAATAAAGCGTTGAAGCTTATGAAATATTCGTTTATGAAAATGTATTATCCTTTGGGCTTAATTGATGATTATATCTCACTACTAATAAATACATCGACCATATGTTGATGAGACATGCCGGTCTATTGTAAGAACAGAAAAATACTTGTTAATGCAGTTGGGTCCAACGCTCTTGAATAGCCGAACACATGACAGAGACTAGGCATAAGATAGAATCATCTCAAAAGAGTAGGTTTGCTGATTATGTTACGTCTGCTGCTAAAACAAAGATGGTGGAAGCTATTGAAATTAATGGACTACAGAATACGTTGAATGTGAGGAATGGTGGTAGAAGTTGAGTAAGAACTATTTATGCTTGGTTGATAGATTGAAGGAGAGAGGGCGCTGAGTCGCCATCCAAATGAAGACGACTCAAATTGTCCGCTCAGTGATGATTCC